AGAATGTAACGATACAAATAGGGGTGATCGTCGAGATTGAGAATTTTGAATTTGTGACCTGCTTCGCGCAGAAGATCCCTCATGTCATTTGCTCCAATGTCATGACCCAATTGTACAAAGACATGCTTGTGTTTCTTGATGAGTTTTTCAAATACAGCGCCAACTTTCTCCATTTCTCTGGGGTCGTCTCCAAAGATGGCTGGACCATCGAGCAGAATGAAAACGTCACTCGTGAGCAGGGTGCGTGACACTTTGTCGTCCTCGTCGGCCAGGTCGATCAGCTCGGTGAAGTCGGCCACGATCTCATCGCCACCATAAATGGTCTTGGTGGCCTTGAGAACCAGTTCATTTTCGCTCTTCCAGTTCACGTAGCGAGCATTGATTTCATCCTTGTCGCTGCTCTGTCGAATGAGAACATCCATGCTAGACGTGCAAAAGCTTGGGTCCCAATCGTCAAGGGCTGCGCCACCGAGTCCCAGACGAGCACAGATGCCTTGGTTGTCGCAGTGGATGATGACAGCGTCCTTCTCAAATGCAATCCTCGAACTTGGTCCTGTGGCGTACATGCGCATTCCAAAGGGGAACTTGCCCTTGATCTCCACGTGGAACTGCTTCTTGAGATGATCAGTGCAGTATGCAGTGCCTTCGACAACAGAATCACCACAAAAGTCACCTGTCTCTGGTTTCATGATCTTGCAGCCGCAATCACTGGGTTCCTGGGTGGCCTTCTTGGTGGGGTTTGCTTCAGCTTTGGAACGAGCGCGTTCACCAGAGATCTTGAAATCCTTGCCACCACGATGTGTTCGAGATCGTCTTGATCTGTGCTTTGTTTGGCGTCTTGCGCTGTACTTTTTGGTTGTGGATTTGGGCATGTCTGGTGGCTGTGTTTGACTGAGGTGTACTTGGGATTTTTTTCATCTACGCCCCTTGTCAGAGCTCAAGATGGTCCTTCAAACGTCTGGTTCCATAGCAGCATCGCAGGTGGCCAGAGAGTATTATCCGCCCGATGTGCCCGTTAACGAATACACATGGTACAGCAAGATGAGCACAGGTGTTCTGAGCGGCTCGTACACACCTACAATCACCGGCAGTGACCCGACTCGCCAGGTGCAGATGACATCCAGCTCGATCACCTCGAGCATGACCGGCATCTCACAGCAGCTGCGTGTGCAGGATTATGCGTCATTCACGCTCACCTTCCAGATCTCCACAGACAACGCAAGTGCCGACAGCTCCAATATCTTCTTTGGCAACACGTCGGCGATCATGAATCCATCGAGTTCGTTCGCGGCGCCGGCCTGTGGGTTCAACTTTGAGATCTGGTCCGGCAGCACCCAGGGACAGGGTATCCACTTTTACGACACCACTGCAACACGGCGAGTCACCAACAGCACCACGGCATCCAAGGTCTGGGTCAACACCAGCGCCACCGTCGGCAGCGGGACCTGGTACTCAGTCCAGATCGTCTACAACCGCAGCCCCAACAACACATGGGCCATCTCGATTGGCACAAGCGGTGCCCCGACCACACCATCGCTCCTGTACACCTACTCCGATCCAAACCACACCGCATTCCTGTCAGCTTCTGGAAGCTACTGGGGTGTCGCATCGATGGGATACGGTGCCTCGACAAACCAATACTTCCGCAACATCAAGCTGGTCACCTATGGCTCACCCGTGCAGACGCTCTTCAATTTCTTCAACTGGTACAGCTTGTTGACCATCGCGGGCGTTGCGACACAGCCAGCCGGCAGCCAGTACGATCCGTACATACAAGCCGAAATGATTCCGGGTACAGCTACCAACCAGACCGGGTACTATTACTCGTCCGCTGTCCCGGTCGGCAAGTACTCGTACATGTCATTCGAGTGTGGTGCTTGGTATGTGGGGTCGACCCCTGCCAACGGCTGGTTCTTCATCTTTGGTTCCAGTTCCTCGGGCGCCACACTCACCAGCGGTAGTGTCGCAGTGTATTTCAACTACAACAGCAGCTTCTCGAGCGGGTCGTACTCGGGTGCTGGGGTGTATATCATCAAGAGCGGCACGGCCGTGGCCTACAGCTCCACCGGACTGAGCGGCATATCCGCGAGCACCTGGACCAGTCTCCAGATCATCTACAACTACCAGGCCACCAACACATGGGTCGTCTATGTCTCTGGCAGCGCCGTCCTGACTTGGAGCGACTCGAGCTATGCCACGACGGCGACGGGTATGGGGACGTATTTCAACGCTGTGGCGCAGTGCGGCTCGACGCAGACCATGCAGGTGTGGTTTGACAGACTCTCGCTCATCTTCACGCCCCGCACCTTCTCGTTCAGCCAGCTGCGAACAGCAGCACCCGGAGTGAGCCCGAGTGGTGCAGTCAAGCTCTCTCAGTTCTACGGTGGCCAGGCGGCTGCCCTCTGTGGACTCAACAACACGGGATCATTCTCGACCAGTGTCACATGGGGTAGCAGCCCTGGTGACGAAGGGTTCTATGCCCGCGATCTTGGTGCCTGGAACATGAGTCCGTGGTTGCTCACGTCGAGCCAGATGCCCGACTCGTCAGCGCGCTGGCTCTGGAACACGACGAGTGCAGCGACCAGTGCGTCGAACTATGTGATTATCAACTTTATCGTGAGCTACAGCAACACCAGCACGTCGAATGTGAGTGCCACACTCTATGCGATCGTCGACGATGCCAGTCTCATTTACCAGAACAAGATCCTCGTCGGATCCACCAAGTGGTATTACGGCGCGCAGTACACCAAGATTGCGGTCACGCTCGTGCCGGGACTCAATGTGTTTGAGTTTCTCTGCTGGAACAGCACAGGGTCGACGGCGGGTCTGATCTTCTCGTGCATTAACACATCGAGCACCGTGCTCTTCCGCAGCGACAACTACAGCCCAGACACGGTGCTGACCAACTCGACCCGCACCATCTACAGCGTCGTCGCGAGTCCGTCCTCGTTCACGAGCAACATCCCGCAGCAACCGGCTCCGGTCTCGGAGATGTGCATTCTGGACCAGGTTTCATCGACGGCCAAGAGCAACTGCTCGGGTGCATATGCACTCTTCCTGCTCACGACCACCTACACCGGCCCCGTGATCAACATCATGCGGAGCAGCGACAGTACCAGTAGCGACGTCTACGCAGACATGGGCGGCAACCTCTTTATCGACAGCGCTCACCAGAGTCCGTACAGCACCTGGATCAGCACGGCGACGGCCTATGTGACCAAGTGGTATGACCAGTCCGGCAACGGAAACCACTGCACGCAGACCACCACGGGTGCACAGCCGGTCATGTATCTGACCAACTCCACGGCATACGGCTTCTATAGTGTCAACTCGTCTTGCTGTGTCTGTAGCGGCAGTCGTGGATGGGGCACGCTCTCGTACCTGAACATGCCCTCGGGTGTGATTCCAACGGGCACATCGAATGCGGCCTATTCCTTTGTGATCAAGCACGGTGTGGTCAACAAGTATTCTGGCTCGACAGCCAACCAGTCATTCTGGTCGTATGGGAGTCTCTTTGGTGCCGGTGTGGATGGCACCAACACTGTGCTAGAGTGCGGCACGAACGGACCCAGTAGCAACTACTACAGCTACATGGGCAGCTCCAGCACCAACAACACAACTGCATCAGTGAGCCAGGTGGCATGCTACCCGAACGACACCAAGATCGTGGGCACCTATGACGGCACCACCCAGACCATATGGATCAACGGAAATTCGGGATCCTCCAAGGCCGTGAGTGGACTGAACGTAACGTCGGGGCAGCAGTACCTGTTCAGAGGCCCGCGGGCAAACTCGGCACTCAATGGCGAAATAGGCTATGCGCTGTTCTTCAAGACTGCTCTCTCGACCACCGACCGACTCCTGCTGGCTCCCACCAACACTGTGAGTGGGCTCGATGCCACGGGCACAGTCTCCGGAGCCGTGTGGGCAGCGATCAGCGGCTCTGTGATTCTCTTGGTGGATACGAGTGGTAAGATCTGGTATGGCAGCACCAGCAGTGGCTCGACGGCATGGAATCCGTGCCCGAGTGCGCCGTATGCCAACCGGGTCGGTTTTGTGAGGAACTCGAGCACATACCCATACAGTGCATGGGCGACCGAGTCGGGTGGCAATGTCTACTATTGCGCCAATGTGACGACGGCCTGCTCGTGGATCCGCATCACTGTATCGAATGACTGTAAGAGTCTGGCGATGCGATACACTGCAAACACACCCGTTGCATTTGGATATGTCAACAGCAGCAACGTGCTCTGGAAAAACTCCAATATCACCACGACGTATAATGCCACACAGATAACGACCAGTGGGTTTTCGCCCACGCAGGTCACGATGACATATTCCAGCAGCACGGCAATGTGGGCGACTCTGGACACGAGTGGGTATTTGTGGACGCAAGCATATGCCTGGGATGGCGGATCCACTTCAACAACGAGCTGGACGCAGTGGAATGCCAAAGCACTGACGTTTGCGTGTGCGTACGGAGCGGGTGCTGTGATGGCAGTGGGTACAGATGGCAAGATATATTATTCGAGTGCCAACATGACTAGCAGCGTTTCATGGAGTGCGGACACGGCGACCAACACTGCCACGACGGCGATCATGTGTGATAGCGACGACAGCGGTAATGCAGTGTATGTCACAAGCAGCTCCACCAACAAGCTCTGGTACAAGTTGAATGGACAGGGCTCATGGACAGATCTGATCTGAGTGGATCAGAGACCCAGTTCACCCAGTAGTTTCCAGGCCATGACATCACCCTTGTCTCGAAGATCCTTGATGATCTCGATGGCATTCTGTCTCTCTTCTTGGGTTGCATCTGTCCTTTTCCATTCATTTCTGGCGATATGGTATGTTGCTCTGAGATGGCCATGTTGACTGGCCAGAGCAAAGTATTGTTCCATCTTGACCCAGTGTCGTTGCTGCTGTCCTCGAACGTAGAACTTGGATTGCTGCATGAGGCCAAGCTCATAGAGCGATTCTGCATGTCCCTGGGCAGCAGCCTTCTTGAAGTGGTGTTTGCAGAGAGCCCTGTCGTCGACACCAGGGCCGCCAAATGACTTTGAAAAGTATCGACCCAGGATGTAGTGGACATCGGGGTGGTTGGTGGTATTGGCCATATCGATCACCCAGCTCATATCATCGAGTCGTTGATCGCGAAAGAATGGGAAGAGTGCATTGGTTGCGTTGATGAGTTCAGAACATCGTGCACAGAAGTGGATCAGCGAGATTCTGTGATGTCCACACCACAACTTGAACCTGGTGAATCGTCGATTCACAAGGGCTCGTGTGCGCTTGGAGAGTCGCAATAGCTTGGCCACAGTGTCGAGCGAGCAGTGGGCGATGAATGTGTTCTCATTGGAGATGATCTCGAGTACGAGTGACATGCTCTCCATTGTGGATGCTGGCGACGATCTGGATCTGGACGATGGGATGACCCACGCTCTATATACCCGGGCACTGGGATCAATGGAACGAAGCAGATGCCTTTCGAACACATTTTTTATTGACACAAAAACACCACACACCCGATACATTTCATTCATTCAAGCCATTCAGTGCAAATCGATGACAAAGCAGATCTCGCTGGTACGTTTAGGGGGAACAGGGGAAGTGCTGCTGCTCGTGGTGGTGGCAGCGCTGGTCGTGGGAGCAGTGACACCCTGGACATCGCTGGTGGTGGAAGCCGACCAGGGTCCGTGGGTGTGGGTCCTGGCAGGGTAGCGATGATGGCGATGACGACCGCGGCCCTCGGGAGTGCAGGTCACCGTGGTGGTCGTGGTAGCCTCGGACTCGCAATCGGTGCTGCTGGAGCTGATGGAGCTGCTGGTGACGCTGGGGGTCGGCGTGTAGGTAGGAGTACCGACGCTGGTGCTGGTGTAGCTGGTGCTGCTGCTGGTCAAAGTCGGGGTTGCAGCGGGGCAGGGAGCACCCTGAGAGACGCTGGGATTGGCCTGGATGCTGAAGATGTCGCTCTGGGCCATGAAGCCAGTGCTGTTCCAGAGCTGGACATTGAACTGGCCGGCGGGAACCGAGGGAATGACAAAGTCCCAGCCGTCCGAGGACCATTGGACATCGGTAGCAACGACGGGAGTCACCTGCGACGACACAAGCAAGAGGCGGTTGGTCGCGGCTTGATGTGATGACCAGCATCACAACGGACCAATGAGATTGTCCCGCATGCTCTCGCCCTCCGCACCAATCATGAGTCCCCACGTGTTTGTTTGCCCCCATGCATGAGCACGCGCCGTTGCCACCCGCGTCTACTGGTTTCCTGCCTCCCCCACCGCTCGGCACATGTCCCCGGGCTGTGCCAAGCCTCTCTCGCTTGCACACCAGCCACTCTCGCACCCCCTTCTCGCTTCTCTGTGATGCTCCACCCTTCTCGCCCACTTTTGCCCCTCGACCTTCTCCCGGTCTATAAATAGCCCTGCATGTCTGAGCCTATGTTGAACACCAGTTCGAACAAAACTTGTTCTTTGGTGTTCGGGGCTAAAAGCTAATAAAGCTCATACCAAGCACTTGGTCTTCGTCCTTGCGCTTGTTCACTCCTTACACTTTGTTCGAACTCTCTTCTACTGATACCACCTGCTTGGTATCTTCCGCTCCTAGCCCCGCCCCTTTCCTAGTCCTGTCCGAACCTCAAGCACACTTGTGTCTGAGCCCTCTTCGCTCTCCTGTTCTTGAACCTCCTCGCTTTTTTTTTTTTTCCCAGTCCCAGTCCCAGTCCCGCCATGGATCCTGCCCTCGTGGACCGCCTCCGTGCCTTGGAGGCCGAGCTCGCCGAGCTCCGGACAGCTCGCGATGCTCCTGCCGCTGGGTACAGCGTGCAGATGCCGGACCGTTACGACGGTAACCGGCAAGGGTTCCGGGCATTCGTAAATCAGTGCAAACTGTATATACGAATGCAGCCCCACCGGTTCCCTGCTGACCCGATTAAGGTCGGATTCGTCATTAGTCTGCTCACTGGACCGGCTCTCCAGTGGGCGACTCCGATGCTTGAGATGGGTGATCCCCGACTCAACTCTTTTGGCGATTTCCTAGAACGCTTTTCCAAAGTGTTTGACGACCCTGATCGGGCCAGGACTGCCGAGTCAGTGATCACCACACTGTCTCAGGGCAACCGCCCGTGCGCAGTCTATGCATCCGAGTTCCTTCGTATTGCCGCCGATACGACTTGGAACGACGGTGCAAAGATCTCGTTCTTCCGACTTGGCTTGTCGGATGATGTCAGAGACGAACTTTCGCGAGTTCGCCCTCTGCCACGAGATCTGGAGGAGTACATCGAGCTTTGTAACGAGCTCGATGCACGAATCCGCGAGCGCCGTCAAGAGCGCCGAAGCACGCCTGCCCGCTACCGGTCTTCCCAGTTCGCCTTTGGTTCCGCCTCCGCTGCCGTTCCCGCCATCGCTCCCGCGCCCGTCCTCGCTCCGCCGCACCCCTCCTACATTGTTTCCGAGCCCATGCAAGTGGACTCTGCCGTCTCTGGACCCCTGACCGCCGAGGAGAAACAACGCCGCCGCCGCTTTGGACTCTGCCTGTACTGTGGCAAGAAGGGCCACTTGGTACGAAACTGCCCCGTCAAGTTTGGATCTACCAGAGCTACCGGACCGCCCCCTGGACCTCCCGGCCCGAGGATCATCCGCACCATCGTTTACGAAGATGGAGAAGTGCAAGACTTCAGTTCGGGAAACGACCAGGCCCGGTTCTAAGTGAAGGCCTTGAACCGGAGCCGTGCCCACCGCCTTCCGAAAGTGAAGACATTGGTAAGGTGCCTTTGGTAAGTACTGGGGAAGCAGTGATGTGCGGACAGCTTCGCCTTGCCTCTGGACCGGCGGACACTCTCAGCTCTGGCATAGTACCCGTGGCACCTCTGGTGTCACTGGGAACTGCACCTCATCCACAGGTGCAAATACCTGAGCTGTCCTGCCAACCCTCGGCAAAGTTAACTGTCTGTGCTAGCCGCAACCCTGGTGCCGAAGCTGGTACCGAACCAAAGTCTTGTGTTTCGTCTGTTCGTCGTTGCTCGTTGGTTGTTCCCGTCGCTGTTCGTCTTCCTTCTGGTGATTCTCTGTCGTGCGAAGGACTTGTCGATTCTGGTGCCTCTGGCAACTTTATCGACGAGGACTTTGTTGCTCGACACTCTGTCCCCACCTGCTCCAAGGCTTCGCCCTTGGCAGTGGAAGGCGTGGATGGTAAGCCGCTGTCGTCTGGCCCCATCCTCCGCGAGACTGCTCCACTCGAGGTGATTCTCGGGGACGTCTCG